ATTATTACTGCACACAAAGCCGCCGGATTTCTGGGATGGCGCCGATGGGGAGGGTGGCGAAAAAGACATGCGGCCCGGTGCTTATTTGTTTTAATTATAATTAAAAGTGAGATGTAAGTTTTAATCTAGAGCATAGATCTGTTTCAAAAATCATCTTGTTTCAAGTGTCTTGTTTATTAAGGATTCAGGTTTCTTACTATAGTTTATTAAGTTGTATTTGAAGACTCTCCAAGTCTTTACAACATTAGATTTTATATAGTAAACCGTGCTAACATATAAAAAAGGGCCAGAAACATTTGTGTTGAAAAGTGTTAATGTCCAGAACGACAAGCTAGAAAACATTTATGTTGAAAAGTGTTAATGTCCAGAACGACAAGCTAAAAAACATTGTGACATTAATTTGTAAATCAACAGGAGAGAAATCTCCAAATAATAGTGCTAGCTAATTCTAAAATAAAATATTCTAAATGTATTTTGTGTGGGAAATAAGAAATTTTTATGTCATTTCAGAATTTCTATAATATATTGTGTTCCTGGAACTGTGTGCCACAATTACCTTCAATGATCTTTTTTGGAGTACAATGTTGGAACTGCGGGATGATGATTCCAACAGTTATCTGATTGGTTCATACTAATGGGTGTATTTGGACAAATTGGGAACAGTGGGTATGAAAGTTTAATGCTCCTGGACTCCTGGTAGTCCTACTTGTTGTAATGAATATAAGGAAATAATTATATTTCACATTTATTTGATTCTTCATGCCTTACATCTGAAGATAATTTTCAGATTCCAGTGCTTCAGTTGATGGGTCACTTGTGTTTATCATCCCGATGTGGTGATCATGATTACGCGGGCATACATACACGACACCATATGTAGTGAATTAATGATGAATGAATTTCCTATTTTCTTTTTCAGCTCAGACAAGGCCTTTCATTCTGTCGTTATCTAAACGATGAAGTGATGGATCAAGCAATGTGTCAAAGTTATCTATCAGTTATCACAGGTGTTTTATTGTAGAAAGTGCAGATTAAAGTTGTGTTTTTTGCGGGGGAGATCTTAAAGTTGTTGCTATGTTGAATTTAATATTCTTGAAGTGGGAGAAAAGTCTGAAAACATATCGCAGCAATCGAATCTGTAATCAAATGTTCTAAATGTATTTTGCTTGCATAAGAAAGAAAACATAGCGTTATTCCACAAAGAAATATGATATACCCCGTTGCACCTAATTGATGTATTTATTTTAGACTATCAGGGCAAAAGCCCCCTCCCCCCTCCCAACCCCCAGTTCCATGTTAACAGTCATATAATTGAAAATGAAACCTAATTGATGTATGTCATATTCTATTACTATTTTTAATCAATTTACCTAAAATAATCTCTTTCTAAGTTATTTTTGAAAAGGTGATGGCATGGATGGGTGTTATGGCCATGTAACTAATTCTCATAATTTACAAAAAATCAGCTTCTTGGACGAATTACGTTAAAGCAAGGAGTACATAGTGAGGAAGGGACAGGGCCGGCCCTATCATCATGGAGGCCCTAGTGCGATTGAGACATAATGAACATTAACGTATTAACATATATACTTTCAACAATATATATCGTATATGATAAAAGATATAAAGGCATTAACACAAAAACATGATTTTAGTTGGCAAATAAAGTCTCAATACAATCATCTATATGTTATTATATGCTGCAAATAATGATTATAATGTATTCAACTATAAGTAATTGTTGAATAAATATAGCATGGTGAAGTCCGCCGAGGAGGGGAGGGGCATATGCCCCCTTCCATGTTGATTTTTTGTTTTGCAAATCATTTTTTTGCATTCTGATTATGCACACACATACTTGAGTAGAAACCAATGATATTGGTGGTGTTATATTCCAATAAGTAGGTCTCTGAAGAAGAGCTTGTGAGTAAGATGGGTGGTGTTGTGAGTAGTATGATGAGTGGTGTTGCTGCATGTGAGCTCAAAACCTTCCCGAAAACAACCACGTCCTACCCCGAAGGGTTAGATGGATGCTTACTCTACCGCAGCTCGAGGGGCAATGGGCCAGCGCTACAGCAGAAGGGACATGCAGGAGCCTACCCCTACCGACCAGCACATATGCCCTGGGCAGTGTGGCTGCCGCAAGGCACATTAGAGGTGGCATGATGGCACTCCTCATCATGATTGTTCCTGTGGTTGGTTTCAGGATTTTGTGGTGGCTGTTTTAGGGTTTGCTTTGGTTGCAGGGTTTCGGAGATGAAGCTATGCGGGATCAATTGTATTTAGTCATGGTTGGTCGTTCATCGCGTATATATACTGCAAGTAGTCACTATGCATACCGTTGATCACAAATGTCGTGGTCCACACGAGATTACGACTACAAAACTTAGAAATAATAACGTGCCGTAGTCTATTTCTATATTCAGAAACAATGTAGCCATGTTGGATCGCATGCTTGGTTCTTCGCACCAGCGATATACATTAATGGGCAGATGGGCTATGGTGAAGTAAAATCGTTCAGTATAAATAGGAAAAAATGATTGATTTTATCTTGCACTAACATTACAATTATGTTTGGAATAAAAAAATATTTATATCATTTCAATACACATCTCGATCACATACATCCAATAACTTACCAGTAAGTTTATATTAATATCTTCTGGTATGTCTTAATGAAGTGCATCAGCTTTTGGAGCTATGATATATCATTAGGTTCATCTATATTTCTGGCCTTACGGACATGGAGTACAAACCTGAACCTTTAATTTCATATTGTTTGGATGTCTTCTATTACTAATCTTTAATAGTTTGTGGTATGTCTATGCATGTTCGAGACTGAATTACTAATTGAAATGTCTCTGCCTCCATTCGGGTTTAAAGGGGCGGTTGACCACGACGAATCGTCCTTTTTTGAAAAAGACTGTCAGTCTTATCTTTGCATGCAAGCAATATATGCCTGGAGTATGAGCATTATGCCTTGAGTTGCTGCATGTAGGATAATGAGTGGACTATAGTGTAGCTAGCCATCAACTCTGGCACAAGTCCCACCATTCCTTGGTCCGAGAGAAGTGTCCACCGGCCTTTTAATTCCTGATTATACATACGATGAAAACCCATCTAATACTTGTACAATACTAGTATAAGGCTGGTTGTAATGGGAGTATCATAGGTAGTATCATGCATACCAACTAGGCAACTTTGATGAAGTGACATAGAATTAAATGAAGTAAGAGAGGATTGAGTATCATATCATGATACCGTATCATAATAAATGCTACACTAGTATGTGTCATGCATGGCAATAAATAAAGTCATCTATGATACTACTATATGATACTATGTATTAGGGATGTAGTATCATATACTAGTATCATATGCATGATACTAACTTATGATACTACCCATTACAACCAGCCTAATGGACTGTGAAGTTCTATGTCAAGTTGCAATTAACGGTCCTTATTTCGTGTCGTACACAGATCAAACACTTCCTATCGTACGCCAAGCATCACTCTTTAATTCCGGACGGAGTGAGTACATGTTAAGTTAGATAATAATGTGAAACATTGACTATAACAAACATGTATTTATTCTGGTTGAAACATGTTCTGAGCTTACTAATAACTATGTACACACTTGGATGCTCTTTGAAATTCATAGCTCTGAGTGATCATGAACTTTTTTTTGCCGAGTGACAGTGGGTGCTAGTTAGTATCAGTTATTAAAAAAATATTCTTATGCAAAGTTAGAGGAGTTTCTACAAATGCTAAGCTTTTTTGGTTCTATCCATTTTGAATTTTTTAACATTTATTATGTTTTAGTATGAGCATGATCCTTGAGATTCAAGAAAGGAATCGGGTTGTTTTTAGTATATTATCATAATAAGACTTGCATAGTACAAACGTATAGACCTTGTCTTGTATTCTCCATTATTTTTCAGTTACTTTTTTTACATTTGTATTTGTTAGTTTCTAGATGTAGCATTGCTATTTTCATAGATATTTTTTTATACACATTTGTAGTTCACCATGATAATCGGATTTTTGCCCGAAAGAAAACATGATAACCGGATTCTCCATAGTGAACATCATGGTGTGCATGAACATGAACAAAATTCAACAACTTAAGCTGCTAATTTTATATATTTTTAATAGTGATGTGCATCAAGCTATTGACTATGCTGATGCAAATTATGTAGTACTCCCTTTGTCTCATAATATAAGAGCGTTTTTGACACTACACTAGTGTCAAAAATGCTCTTATATTATGAGACGGAGGGAGTATTATGGAAGGAGACATTTGCACTATACCTTTTTGCCGAGTTGATATTTTGCCTTGATCCTGCTGACAGTCCATGACTCTGAGTAGTGGTGCTCCCGGCACAGCGCACACCACCACCTTGTAGTAGTGCCGCTCTCCCGGCACAACTCCACGGCTCCACGCTAGCGCCGAAGTTTGACTGCAGACACGAGCCATTCATTCCACAAAAAAGACAGAATATTGAGTATAAATAACTCAATCGGTACAAATTGTAAATTGTCATTGCGATAGAGCTGCGTATACATACCCATAGAAGAAGGCGGCAGATACACGGTAACAGGGAGAGTTGTTGACGACTCCGTGCGATTCCTCCAACCCCAGCAGTCTCAAGCAAGTGCCAAACATAACATGTCCCACAATTTTTTGTAGCAAGTAGGCCTTAATACAACATTGTATCTTTGTACTATAAATTTCAGTCTGTGTAAATTTAACATGGACGGCTGTACTGAACACTTTCGTCAACGGAAGAGCTGTAGAACATTAATAGATCTGAAATCTATAGTAAATCATGTGCTCGACGTGTTCATTTTTCTAAATCATACACACTTTGTTTATTCCATTACGTTGTTGTCAACTCGTAAGTAACATCGTGCAAACCGCCCAGACATGCATGACCCTCTCAACAACAATATCTTGGAGTTTTCAAAGGTCACGGCGGCATCAACTGTGCGTGCCCATCAAGCGACGGTGTTGGCCGGGGTTGCCTCCGGTGCAGGCGCGGCGTCTGCTGCTGGGGCAGCCTCCGGTGCAGGCGCGGCGTCTGCTGCCGGGGCTGCCTCCGCTGCAGGAGCGGCCGGGGTAGCGTCCGGTGCAGGAGTGGCTTCGGCCTCCCAGAAGGCGGTCTTCTTCCCGGTCTTGGAGACCGTCTGGAAAACATCTTCTGGCTTGACGTTGCCCTTCACGGTCACCTTCTGCTGCTCCATGTCGATGTCGAAGCTCTCGACGCCTGCCGGGAGAAGAAGCAAAGCATTAGTAGTGAGGCCACCATATATAGAATTCTAGTTTAGCTCCAATTGATTTGCTGTGAAGTTTTTTAGTCATTCCCTTCGAGGTTTGAAACTGATTTTGACAAGCTAATGAAACTTTACTAGGTTGGTATAAATGCATTGGTAGAGTAGCTTTGAAAGGAAGCGGGTAGACGCGGAGAGGGGAATAACCTTCCATTTTGGTGAGCACCCTTTTAACCGCTCCCGAGCAGCCTCCGCAGGACATTGCAACCTTGAGGACGACAGTCTGCCCATGGTAAGATGAAAAGATTTTTGTTTCGTTAGATTCTAACCGATCAAACATTATCTTAGCTTATTTCGATCAACCGATCTTTCTTTTCGACGAATGATCAACTAATTAATCTAACAAGGGGTGTATTATAATATAATATACAGGCGAGACGACAAATTAGAAGTCTCTCCTAGGCTAGCCACTTCCTATTGATTTTCTTGATCTGTTCACCCAACAATAACTGAGAAGAGACACAGGGAAGGAGATGGTATTGGTACCTCAGAGGCCATGGTTGGCAGCTGCAGCAGGAGTCAGGAGGAGAAGATCGGGAGACGGGGATCGATGTCGTCGGAGGGAGAGTTCGATGATGCCTGCACCTGTTCTGGTTTCAATGATTGCGGTTGTGGGGCGGCTTAAATAGACGCCATCCAGAGGAAGAAGAAGAAGAAGATGCGTAGCAGGGAAGGGAAGCACAAGGAAGGGGCGGTGAGCGGTGGGTGGACGTGCACCAAACACGCATAAAGCTAGCAAAGCATCCCCCTCGACCGATCGATCGGTAGGGATGGGCATTGTTCATGCCGGCCAGCCAGCCGGCCTGCGTTGGCTTGGGAGGGGTAGTACAAGTGCCGGAAGTAGTACACCCTCCCCTTGTGCAGTACACATGCTGTACATTTGCCTTTTCTTTTCGAGGGGTCGTTGTACATAGATTCTGTTTTCCAAGGCCAGCAGCGAAGAGTGAGTTTCAAGTCTCCACCGCGCCACCATACTCTAGGCCCACGACTGTGTTCAAGTTCCACCGCGCCACTAGCCCACAGCCCACCATACTCTAGGCCCACGACTGTGAGAGAGGAAGCGCGCTTTGTTTGAGAGCAGTTTTTTTTTTTGCAAAATCACTAATTGATGAGTACTCATTACAAAGATCACTTCCAATTTTCCTGGTTGCTACAAGTGGCGCGCTGCATGTGCGCACTTATCGCAACCTGAGAGTTTTCCTTTTTTTTTCGTAGATCCGTCTATTCAAAATGTTTTATTTTTTAAACCGCGTGTCCAAATCTCGAATCCTTTTCACCATTGGATTCCTCGCTTCAAGATCTTCAAAACTAGATCCTATGTTGATAGGTCTTGAAAACTTTTTTTTTCACGAAAAAACCGGACGAAAAATCTGAACCGGGAGCACGGGTATTTTCCCTTTCCGAAAGAGGAACACCCATGCCTCTCGCGAAAGCAAAGCCATACCTCTCACAGAAGGAAAAAAAACAGAAAACGTGTTTTTTCCGTTTTCGAGAGGCATGGCCGTGCCTCTCACGAAAGCACACCGTGCCTCGCGTGGAAGCAAAACCGTGCCTCTCGCGGAAGGAAACAGAAAACACGTTTTTTTTCGTTTCTGAGAGGCACGGCCGTGACTCTTGCGAAAGCACAACCGTGTCTCTCGAGGAAGCAAAACTGTGTCTCTCGTGAAAAGGAAAAAACAGAAAACGCGTTTCTTTTTCGTTTTCGAGAAGCACGGTCGTGCCTCTCATAAAAGCACAATCATGCCTCTTGCCGAAACAAAACTGTGCCTCTCACGAAAGGAAAAAAAACAAAAAACATGTTTTTTTTCTTTTCCGAGAGGCACGGCCGTGACTCTGGCGAAAGCAAAACCGTGCCTCTCGCAAGCAAAACCGTGACTCTCGTGAAAGAAAAAAAATAGAAAATGTGTTTTTTCGCGCAAAAAGAATTCGATTTATTTTTTATCTAAAAGCTAAGGAAGACCGGTGGAAAACCGAAACGTCGAAAAAAACAAAAAAAAACGTTTAAAAAGCTGAAAACACGTGTGGAAAAAAACAAAATCCGAAAGGAGCACCTAGAGTGCGACATGTGGCGGGCGGCTGAGAGCGCGCCAAATAGCTCAGATCGTTGTGAGGCTCCCGGGGGAGCGCTCGTTAATTAGTTGCTCCCCTTTTTTGCGGGTGTTGGAGAGCAACTGATAAAGGGGTATCCCTTGTGGAAGCGCCGCAAGGGTCATTTTGTATGCTCTGAGAGTATAACTAGCTGAGAGCACATCAAGTGGTTCATTCAGCCGTCGCCACGTGTTGCGTGCTGGGCGCTCCCTCTGAATTTTGTTTTTTATTTGTTTACATGTTTTCCAGTTTTAGATGTTTTTTTCAATTTTTTACACTTACCTCTGGTTTTTCTAGGTTTTGGAGTAAAAAATTGCAAATTTGCTTTTCATGGAGGCACAGATTTGCTTCTGTGAGAAGCATAGCCGTGCTTCTCAGAAAGCGAAAAAAAAACACAAAATTAATTTTTTGCATGATGTTTTGCTTCCACATGAAGTACAGATTTGTTTTTATGAAGACACAGATTTGCTTCCGCTAGAAGCACACAGTTGTGCATCTCGAAAGGATAAAAAATCCCTTTTGCGTAATTACTTTTTGGCTTTCTCAAAACACAGATTTCCTTCCGCGAGGAAAGGAGAAAATTATAATTTTTTTGCGAATTTTTTTCTGCACAACTGTGATTCTTCGGAAAAGAAAAAGTTACGATTTTTTTCCTTGCTTTTTTGTGCTTCCACTAGAAGCATATACTTGCATCTCGTGGAAGCGTAGATCTTTGCTTCTCGAAAAGGAAAAGAAGCTGAAACTTGCATTAACATGGGATCTAGTTTCATAAATCTTGACGTGAGAAATCTAAGGGTGAAAATGATTCAAGATTTGGACACATGGTGCGAGCGATAAAACATTTTGAAAAAACAAATCTATGAAAAAAGGAAAACCCTTAGATTGTGACAAGCGGCGAACATGTAGTACGCCACTTGTCCCGCTGAGAAGGTGGGAGTGATCTTTTTAAGGGGTACCCCTGAACTAGCGATTCGGCGTTGGCTTTGTCTCGCCCTCAGCCAGAGACAGAAACCCAATTCTTATTTGGTGCTCACTACACTGGTTACTACGCTTCTGGTAAAAGACGCAGAGACTCACCCCTTTGTTCGATACGGTTAGAACGGGTCGTTCCACCATTTTAGGCATGAGTGGGAAGCTTCGGGGTTTGGGAAGTTTCCAGAAGCTTCCTGGGCCGGTTTTGTAAGCTTTTGGAAGGTTCGGGCTGGTTCTGTATTTGTTTGGCTTTTCAGTATGTTTTTTTCTTTTTTCCTTTTCTTGAATGCGTGAAGTTTTTGCAAACTTATTTTTTCCAAGGGCCAGGAGCGATGAGCGATTTTAAGTTCCACCCGTGCCTCTAGCCCACCATACCCTCTGCCCATCACCATCAGAGGGGCAATGCTCTCTCAGTCTCGCCCGCATGAGATGGGCGCCCCTATATCTCACTTCACACGAGACAGACGGAACCCGCGCCGAAAGAAGGGAGTCGCAAGATGGGCCGGCCCAGGCGTGCGGGAGCCACGGTCTCTTTTTTCATGTTTTTGTTTTGTTTAGTCTTTCTAAAATTCTAAATATATTACACAAAACACTTTACATAAAACACATTAAAAAAATGTTAACCAAGCGTTTGAAAATGTTAAATGTGTATAGAAAAAAAGTTTCTCATGTATACGAAAAATATATAAATAAAATATATAATGTGTGTGAAAAAGTTGATCACATATTTTAAAATGTTAATTAGGCATTTGAAAAATTGTTGAGCAAGTATTCGAAAATTGTTATATGTGTATATAAAAATTGTTGATCATGTATTAAAAAATATTTAATATGTACTTCAAAAATGTTAATCAAGCATTTGAAAAATGTTAATCAAGCATTTAAAAAATGTTAAAGTTACATAGAATAAATGTTGACCATGTATTAAAATATATTTAATCTTGTATTTTATTCAAAATATGTTAATCTTGTGGTTGAATAAGTTAATAAAGCATTTGAAAAATGTTAAATGTATATAGAAACAATGTTGACAATGCATTCAAAAAATGTTAATCAAGCACTTAGAAAATGATAAATGCGTATAAAAAATATTTACCATGTATTAAAAACAATTAATTTGTATTTTCATTTTTTGTCAATAAAGCATTAAAAATGTTAAATGTATGTAGAAAAAATGTTGACAATGTATGTAGAAAAATGTTGACCATGCATTCGAAAAATGTTATCTTGCATGGAAAAATGTTAATCAAGTATTTAAAAAATATTAAATGTGTATACAATTTTTTACAATGTATTAAAAACTGTAATCTTTTATTTGAAAAATGGTAAATGTATGTACAAAAAATGTAGGTCATTTATTAAAAAAATTAATCTTGCATTTGAAAACATTTAATCAAGCATTTGAAAAATGCTAAATTAGTATACGAAAATGTTGAGCATGTATTAAAACAGTGTTAATCTTTTATTTGAAAAATGTTATCTAGGATTTGAAAAAATTTAGGATGTGAATCGAAAAAATGTTGACCATGCATCCAAAAATGTTAAAATTGTATATGAGAATTTCTAAACCTGTAATAGAAAGTGTGAAAAATGTAAAATGAAAACCAAAAGAAAGATTAGAGTTGCGTTGTAGAATGAAAATGATGAGAAGAAACAAAGAAACATAAACAAAAATGATAAAAAAATAAAAAACCTAAACATACCAAAGAAAGAAAAAAAGTGAAGAAAAGAAAACAAAATCAAAATAGTGAAACAGAAAAAGAATACATGAAAACTGGAGAAAACCACGGCTTTTAAAGAAAAAGAACCAATAGCAAGAAAATAATGGAAACGGAAAACCAGAAGAAAAAATGGAAAAAGAAAGTAATAATAGGGAAGGAAACCAAAAAAAAGGTGAAAAAACCAAAAAAAATGAAGAAACTCATGAAGAAACAAAAATAAACGATAGGTCCAAGAGAAGGCGCCACAGAACCCTATAGTGACTCTATTTTTTGTGTAACCCCGGGTTTTATCCGGGAGGCATTATTTTTTGATTATCCTTGATCAAAGTGTGGTAATCCTCGGAAAAAAATATAACTTCAATGACATTTCTAGTTTTTTTCCTTACAATACGCTGTACATTATCAATAGTACTACAACTTTGCGTTTTGAAGCGTTTAAAGTCTGTGAGGCGCCATGAGGGTGGGGGCTCGCCCCGGCACCACTCCGTGCTCGCGGCATAGGTCCAAGAGGAGGCGCCGGCAGAACCACTATGAAAAATACATTTTGCATCTATACAAGGTCATTAATAGTAATCGAAGCAAAAAATAATGATGTTTTTTCGTACTACCAACATGTTTAATACTTTCATGCATGTAGTTAATGACACTCTACTACTTCCTTCTCATTCCTTTCTTGCATACATGCCGGCTTATTGATGATCCGGATAACAAAAATAA